TCCTTCCAGAAGCCGCTGTCCAGCTCTGCCCACAGATGCCACTGGCTCTGATTTCACCGTTGGGGGGGGGGGGTGCGGCCCACTAGGGCCCAGGCCCCTTCAGGCCAGCCTCTGAAGCCCCCTCGAGAGCTAGGTTCCCAGCTCTGCACCCGCCTCGGAGTCTCGGGCTGAAGCTCTGGCGTGCACTGATCATCCCGTGGCAGAGGTCATGCAGGTCCCGGGACCTGTTGCAAGCCGGGCAAGGGTCCCCCACGGCCCTAGGCTGGGTCGGGTCCTGCCCGTCGGCTGCTGGTCCCTGAGGACCCTGAGGAGAGGGAGGGCCCAGCACAGCCTGGTCCTGCTGAGCAGCAGTGGGGTGGCGCTGGCCGAGGACCTTCAGCGGCTCTGGGGCTCGCTGACCTCCCTGCCGCATGCTCCGGCTCACCCTGGGTGCTCACGGCAACAGAAGCGTGGTCTCTCCCAGCCCTGGAGGCTCACAGTCGGACTCGCAGTGTCAGAGGGGGGCGCCTTTCCTCGAGTCTCCCAGCTTCTGGGAGTGGCCGGCAGCCCTCGGTGTCCTTAGTGTGGGGCTGTCCCTCCGGTCCCCACCTCCGTCTTGGCTCGGCCTTCTCCCCCACGTGTGTCGTCACGGTCTGGGCTTCCTCTTATGCGGCCACCGGGCATACTGGGTCAGGATCCCCTCCAGTGACCTCAGCTGAATTGCATCTGCAAAGATCCTCTTTCCAAATAAGGTCACTTCATAAGCACAGGCGATTAGGACTCACACATCCCTTTTGGGGGGACACACGTCAACCCTAACGGGCTGTTCTGCTCTGCCCACCCCGGGTGTCGGAAGGCGGTCTGCGAGGCAGTCTTTCTGCTGACCACGGGTGGAAGACGCCGGGGCCAGCACGGTGCTCACCGTCGGGGGGGTAGCTGAGCCCCAGTCTGACTCTGCCCTCCCAGAAATCCTGCTGTTCAACCTGCTGGGGGTGCCGCTGGTCGGGGCCGACATCTGTGGCTTCCTGGGCAGCACCTCGGAGGAGCTCTGTGTGCGCTGGACCCAGCTGGGGGCCTTCTACCCGTTCATGCGGAATCACAACGACCTCAACAGCCTGGTAGGGGCTGGGGGGAGCCAGTGGGGGCCTGCCCTGGGGGTCCCTCCGCGGGCGCAGCAGCGCGACTTGGCGTACGTGCCAGCAGGCCAGGTCTCCCGGGGCAGAGGCAGGGACCTCGTGGCCCGAGGGCCAGGTGCTCCCACCTTCGCCCCACTGCCCCCTCCCCCTCTCCCCCGCTGCAGCCTCAGGAGCCGTACAGGTTCAGCGAGACGGCGCAAGAAGCCATGCGGAAGGCCCTCGCCCTGCGCTACACCTTGCTGCCCTATCTGTACTTGCTGTTCCACCGGGCCCACGTCCTGGGCGAGACCGTGGCCCGGCCCCTCTTCCTGGAGTGAGTGCCCGGGCTCGGGGAGCAAGGGCCCACGGGCTGGCCACCAGCCTGGTGGCACCGGGGCGGCCCCATCCTGCTGCGGGGGGTGGGGGGGAGTCGTCCCCAGAATGAGGGGGCCAGTGCAGCTGAGGGAGGCCCTTTGCACCCCCACTTCCCACCCGTGAGATCGCAGCTCAGGGCTGGGGACATTCCAGGTAACTGAAAACCCAGGGTGAAGGACACCAAGTACAGAGCAGGCCAGCCAGGTGGTAAAGCGAGTTATAAAACCATCACAGGGCTGGCTTACGGGTGGAAAAAGGACCTCAGAAGAAACCCAACTGATGTGCCCCAGGTAGGACTCAGATACGTCAACAGGTGCCCTGCAATAAAATGTCATGTCCAGTCAGTGGATCAGAGGAGTCCCACATAGTGCAAATCTGTTAGCTCTCTGCAAAAATCCATTTTTCCCCTCGCGCTGTGCAAACCTAAGTTCCAGGTGGATCACAGACGTTAAAACCTAAGCTCTAGAAAGTTCCACGGGACACAGAAGCGAATGGCCCTCAGTGCTCTGGCAGGAGAGGGCTTTCTAAGCCTCAGAAGCAAAAGGCAAGGGAGAGGGGGTTGAATTTAGGAAAAAAAGTTATACTCCTCTGAACAGAAACAGAGTATTAGGACTTCCCTCAGTGCAGAATTATAAAGGCAAACGAACTAGGGTGGTCAGTGTCCCAGACTCACACGAAAGACGCAGACTGGTGGTAGGACCCGGACTAGCCAGCAGCAGACCAGCAGTCAGGGAGAGTTTGCCACACGGGAGCCACGGACGGCGCCCTGCCCGGAGTGTGTGGCCGGGGAGAGGGCCTGCCCACTGCCCACGCCGAGCTCCAGCAGCTGGAACCCGCCTCCCCGTGGCCCGCCCGGCGTCCTCTGGCTCCTTGCGCTTCCCTGAGGGCCCCCTGAACACACTGACCTCAGAGGTCACCAGGCCCAGGCGCCCGCCCCTCCTGTTTGAAGGTTCCCTGAGGACCCCCACACCTGGACGGTGGACCACCAGCTCCTGTGGGGGGCGGCTCTGCTCATTACCCCCGTGCTTGAGGCTGGGAAGGTCCAAGTGACTGGCTACTTCCCCCCTGGCACGTGGTACAACCTGCAGACGGTGAGTCCCCAGGGACCAAAGGTGTCCCTCCTCGGCCCTGCGGGGGTGGGCCACATGGCGGAAGGGAGCACGTTTCTGGAGACCCGGGTGCATGAGGGCCCTCGCCCAGGGCTCCCCATGCATCTTCCCACCCAGGCTGTGCAGTGACCATTTTCCAGATGAGGAGACTGAGGTCCGAGTGGGTAACTCCCCTGGATTACAGTTCTCCCACTCCAGAATTCTGCCCCCGCCCCAAGCCTGGGTCAGGGTCTCTGCCTCCCCCCCCCCCCCCCCCCCCCCAGGGCCCTGCGTGGAGCTGGAGGCTCCCAGCGACAGCGCAGGGGCTTTGGCACTGCCCCGACTCTTGGTGACATGCGTGTCCCTGCAGCTGCTAGGAGAGGCCTTCGGCAGCCTCCCACCTCCACCTCGGGCTCCCCTCACGTCTGCCATCCACAGCAAGGGGCAGTGGGTGACCCTGCCGGCCCCAATGGACACCATCAACCTCCACCTCCGGGCTGGGCACATCATCCCCCTGCAGGTACCCAGGCGGGGCACCTGAGTCGATCTGTCCAGCTCTGGTGCTGCCAGGACCCCATGCTGCCCCTTCAGGAGAGGGTCCACCCCCAACCAAACCTCAGAGCACAGTGTCTGAGGGTTGAAGATGAACTGACTGGCTGTGCCAGGCAGAGGGGAGCCCGCTTCGTGCGCTCTTCTTGGGAAGCAGCCTGCAAACCTCCGTGGCCTCTCGCACCCTCCAGGGTGTCTGCGTTGGCCAGAGTGGTCAGCACAGGCCCCCCCCAGCCCTCGCTGTACGCTGTCCTGTGGGTCCTGCTTTCTTGCAGCACGGAGCTGTCCCAGCCCAGTGTCCCTCCTGTCCTGATGGTGGAGGCCTCTGCCAGGCCTGAGACGGTGACATGTGCCACCCACTTTTCCAGGGCCCTGGCCTCACAACCACGGAGTCCCGGAAGCAGCCCATGGCCCTGCTCGCAGCCCTGACCGCAAACGGGGAGGCCCAAGGGGAGCTATTCTGGGATGACGGGGAGAGCCTGGGGGTGCTGGAGCGCGGGGACTACACGAAGGTCATCTTCCTGGCCAGGAATGTGAGTCCCAGGACCTGCCCAAGCTGGTGGGCGCCGTGGGGGCCTCCTGTGCCCAGGCCAGCCTTGTGAAGGAAGCAGGGCCTGTGGGCCAGCTGCCCTGACCCAGTCCTCATGCACCTGCCGGCATCCTGAGGGTTGGCCCAGGGGCGCGGTGCCGACTACTGCCCAGACCCCCCGACCCCGACCGGCAGGGCTTCCCGGGCCGTCCTCTGACACCTCGCTTCTGTCTCTCCATTCCGCCAGAAAACCATCGTGAACGAGTTGGTGCGTGTGACTAGCGAGGGCTCCAGCCTGCAGCTGAGGAAGGTGACCATCCTGGGGGTGGCCGTGGCCCCCAGCCAGGTCCTCTCCAATGGCGTCCCTGTCTCCAACTTCACCTACAGCCCTGACACCAAGGCAAGAGGGCCCACAGAGGGGCCAGAGGGCTTTGTCGCCCGGGATGGCTGAGGGGGCGGGAGGTGCCAAGGACCCTGGGGACCTGGTACGAGGTGAGCCGGGTCTTACAAGGATGAGGGAGGGAGGGAGGGGAAGGACAGGCCCCGTGCACCCTGGATCTTTCCTCTGCCTGTGTCTACACGGACGGTGACTCACGGGCCGTGTTTAAATGGCAGCCTGCTTCCAAAGCCGAGGCTGCCAATGCAGAGGACGCTCATCCTCCGGACTCAGTCGGGGAGGCAGAGAGCGAGAAGCCTCCGGGGCTGGGGCCGGCCCCGAGCGCACCACGCACCGAAGCCCAGGCTCCTGTCTGCCGGGCGCTCGGGGCCTCCCCTCTGATGGCAACTGTGTGGTGGTCGATTTTTATTTTTTATTTTTTTCCCAGGCCCTGGACGTCCCTGTCTCACTGACGATGGGAGAGCAGTTTCTCATCAGTTGGTCGTAACCCGGGGCCAGTGGCGCGTTGATCCTTTACAGGAGGAGATGGATCTCACCGTGGCCCCAGCACCTGTGAACCCTTGATCAGGATGTGACGGGTGGGCCTCGGGCAGAAGCCCGTGCCCCGTGTCTCATGGCGCTGACCTCCCTCAAATACCCAGATCTGCATATGCGTCTACCTCCTGGGACCAGGGGACCCCACGGGCTGTGGCCCAAGGGTTGCCTTGCGTGTGCAAGGCTGTTCTGGAAGGTGTACCTCTCTGAAGCTTGTCACTGGTGTGTGTGTGATGTCGTCCGCCACCAGCTGCCTGTCCGAGACAGCGGAGGTGTGCTCGGGATGAGGCTGCCGTGCCTGCACCCCGAGGTCGCGCCACCGCAGGCTGCTTTCTGGGCAACGCCCCCGGCAGCAGGTGGGGCTGCCCTCCCGTCCCATGAGAGCGGGCCCGGGAACTCCGGAGGAGTCGCGGGACCCAGGGAAACCCTTGATCTTAAGTGCAATTATTTTTAATAAAAGGGGCACTGCAATCAAGCTTCTGCTGGTCCTTCTGGGATTCAGGGCGGAAAGGATGTGTCTAAGGGCCATGACATGGAGGCAGCCCCTCCATCCTCAACGGGCCCCTGGATGCTCCGGCGGGGGAGGGGTTGCAACGGGTCCCTCCGGGGGGTGACGCATGTCATTGTGTGCCCTGACGGCACAGCCCCGTGCCACCTTCAGGCACCTCTCAGGTGACTGGAGAACGTCCCACTGGGCCTGCAGTCCAGGCATAGGGTGGGTGGGAGATGGGCCCCCAAGCCCCATCCCAGGCAACCACTGGTCTGCAGTGTGTTTTCCAGAAGTTTATGGAAATGGAAGCATCTGGCATGTCCGTTGCCACTCAGCCTGATTCCTCTGAGACTCACCCACGCTGTACGTCCCTGCTTCGCTACCAAAGACTTCCCTCCGTGTGGATACGCCACAGTTTGTTCAGTGGGCCTCGGGGCTGGTTTCGATTTTCGGCCAGTGTGGATAAAGCTGCATTGAGCTGATGAAGACAAACAGGTCTTCGTTTCTCTTGAGCACACGCCAGGGTGACATGGTCAGGTCGTGCGGGGGTGGTGTGACTCCTGTTCTAGAAGCTGCCAAACTGCTCTCCGACGTGCTTGCGCCAGTCTGCGTTCCCTGCAGCAGTGAGGGCGGCCGCTGCCCCAGGCGCTCGCCGACCCCCGCCGGCTCACCTTCGGCCGTCCTGGCGAGAGCGGCGCTCCGGTCCCCGCGCCCGTCCCTACAGACGAACAACGCCCAGCATCTTTCCACAGACTTAGATCCGTCCACCACCCGTAAATCTTCTCTGGGGAAGTGTCTGTTTAAATCTCCGGCCCTTTTCTAATGTGGACCACTGGCCTGCTACGGATGTACACTACATTACACATGGATTAGAGATACTGTAGGTTTTCCATCACTAACAAATGACTACACGGTCAGTGGCTGGAAACAGCAGATTCACCTCGTCGCAGTGCTGGTGGCCGGGAGGGTGGCCCGGCTCTCGCGGGCTGGTCGAGGGGCAGCGCGGCTGCTTCCTTCCCGCAGGCCCTGGGGCAGAATCTGGTTCCGTGCACGGGTGTGCAGGTCTGGGGTCTGGCTCCTGCCCGCCCTGAGCCACACGTCCCTCGCGGCATCTAGAGGCTGCTCCTCATCTTGGCCCCAGCGCTGCCAGGTCCAGACCACTCTGCCCAACCAAAGCCGAGAAGATGATGGAGTTTCAAGAGCTCGTGTGATTAGTTTGGGTCCACCTGGATAATCCGGCACCATCTCGTCTCTCCGTCTTAATCGCATCTGTCTGCGAAGTCCCTCTTGCCACCCAATGTGACACAGATCTGGGCTCCACAGAGTAGGACCTGGGCCCCCCTACCCAGTAACAGCCCCCACGTGCTCTGCTGTACGTCCTCCGTCAGGTTTGTGCTTCAGAATTCTTTCTCCCAGGCTGTGGTTTGCCTTCCTACTTTCACAACGATGCCTGCTGAAGAATAAAAGGTTTTAATTTTGAAGAGTCCGACTTAACAATTACTTATGTCCTAGTAAAGAAATCTTTGCCACATTCAAGGTCCCTCAGACTTTTCTCCTGCTCTCTTCCAGAAGTTTTGTAATTTTAGGCTTTCTATCTCAAGCTACTTTTTGTACATGGTATGAAGTAACAAGGATTTTTTTCCTGTATATGGCTATCCGACTGTTCTGGCCCCTTCATTAAAAGCATCATCTTTTCCCCACCGCACTGCCTCAGTACGTTTGTCAAAAACCCTCTCACCATAAATCTGTGGTCTCTTTCTAGACTTTGTATTGTGGTCAAGGGCCCCGTGGCGTCCCCCTCGGTGCCAACGCTGCATGGTCCTGCTGTAACTCTGTCATACTCTTTGCTATCAGGTGGTAGAAGTCCTCCAGCTCTGTTCGCTTTCGCAAAGTTGTTTTGCCTACGCTAGGTCCTTTGTATTTCCGTATATATTTTAGAATCAGCTTGTCAATTTTTGCCCAAGTCTCGGTATTCTGACGGGGGCTGAGCTGACTCTGCAGAACATGGGGAGGACCGATACCTGAACGATGCAGACTCCTCTATAGGACGGCACCTCTCTCGTTCACGGACATTTCCCACACTGATGTGTTGTGGTTTTCGGTGGACAGAGCTTACGTATCTCCTGTCTGATGGATCCCCAGGATTTCATTCTCAAGTGTTCACTGCTGACATGCAGGAGGGCAAGTGGGTTGTGAATACTGAAACTTGTATACGGCTACGTTTCCTAAACTCAGTTACTTGGTTCCTTGTTGCAGATTTTAGGATTTTCTACATGAAGGATTGCGTCATCTGTGCATAAGGACTTTTTCCTTTCCAACCAGATGCCTTTTATCTCCTTTGGTTGCCTTACTGACCAGCCAGAGCCCCGGTCTGCTGCTGAACAGGCCTGATGAGGACACGGTGCCTTCATCCTAGCACGGTTACTGAAGGCGACTACTGGTTTTGTGTTCATCTAGCTCTCCTTGCAGTTTTACCGGTTTTTGCTGTTGTTTGAAGCTCTGCTATGAGGTGGATACTGAGGACTGTCACGTCGTTTCTGACGAGTTCCCTTTCCACTTACGCCCCTGGTAACATCCATGGCAGCAAAACCTTTGTCCCAAGTGGACACGCCCGCTCCAGGCTCCGTCTGGTTAGTGTGCTATGGTGACAGGTGTCCCCCCGTTTCACTGTTCGCTTATTTGCGCCTTGATGATTTCTCGTAGGCGGTGTGTAGCTGTGTCTTGTTTTACAACCCAATTAACAATCCTTTAACTTGGGACTTCAGACAACTGACTTTCCCCTTGCTCGCTGCCCCGTTTAAGTATAATTTTAGAGGTGGACGTGTCAGATTCCCCACCTGCTCTTTAATTGAGATACACCACTCTCATGCAACTCACCACCTTCCAGACGTACCGTTCAGGGACATTCACTATATTCACAGAGCTGCACAACCTTTCCCACTCTCCCACTCCTGAACGTTTTCGACCCCGCCAAAGAAACCCTGCCCCGGAGCATGCACTCCCTGGTCACCCCCCCAGCCTCTGGAAAACCACCACCTTCTTGCTAGCTAAGTCAGCAGTCTGGGCCATTTCACAGAAGCGGAATCACATGGCCTTCTGTGTCCGGCAGCCTCCCCCACCCCCGAGCAGGCGTTCCAAGCTCCCCCAGGCTGTGGCAAGTGTCGGCACATGATCCTCTGAATCGCCAGATAACATCCATCGCGGGCACATACACACTTCCCAGCGGACGGATATTTGGGTTATTTCCACTGTCTAGCTATTAACCGCTAAAAATAGCTACTGAGCATTTAAATATTCAACGCTGAACATTGAATAGCTTTGAACATGTGTCTAGCAGGGCACACCAGCCCCCTTGCTTCCCTCAACGCTCAGCTGCCAAGAGACTCGGCTACACCTGTCTGGGCTGACTCCAGCTGCCCTCCCAACAACCCCCACCTGCTTGCAAGTGTCCTCGCTTGTCCACGACGCCCCCAGGGCCGAGCACTCACTTCCCTCCCCAGTGCCGTAGTGCACCGTGGGGAATGCACTTGTGCAGTCTACGTTCCAGATTACTGCCTGAGGCAAAAGTACTCCCTCAATTTTAACTGCTCCCACTGCTCAGAGCCAGGCTGCTTTCCAGAAAGTCTGTACCTATCGACACCACCAACATAAATATTTCCCACACCCTTGCAACACTTAGGGTGGTTATTAAACCTTTGATAGCCACGGGTCACATCCGGGTCACCTGGGAGGTCGAACGGTTTTCGGGACTACCGGCGTTTTTCTAATTCCTATTTTCCGAGACAGCACTTAAGTTCAGCTTCTCAAGCGTCTTACCTTCCGGTTGGTTTCCCGCCATCTCCTCCCCTTGTGTACCCCTTCCTCCTCCACCGTTAACATGCTGTGCTTATGAAGCCAGGACAACTACGGCTGGGGGCCAGTCCTTCCAGTTACTCGCCTGGGGCTCCTGATCGTGTCCCTCGGCACCTGGTGCACAAACACAAGGCCGAGCTGGGGACACGTATCTGTGGTCTCCACTCTTCCAGCTCTGAACTCCCTCCCTCCCGCCCATAAGAAACGGGGTTCGGTACCAGGGACGGCTGCCGCGTCCTGGCTGGAGACAGCGTGGCTGCGCGCGGCCGGGGCTGTGGTGTCAGTCTCAGCTGCCGGCGTGGAGGCGCCTACACGCACTGCCTCTGGGCCCTGCACGGTCTCCCCGGGACGGAGTTCATACCAGAAGTCCCCTTCATAAACCGTACGAACGCAAACACCTTCAATCAAAACCGTGGGATGACCTTGAACAGTGCGCAGCGCCATCATCCTGACCAACGTGGGCAGTCTGCAGAGGCAGGCAGTTCTACCACTTCCGTTTACCATTCGAGAGACTAGAGAACGGGGGGTAAGGGCCTGACCTGCTGCCCAGATCACACTGCACGTTACCAGAAAAGCTGGGGGCATCTTAAGAAACATAAATCACAGGGGCGCCTGGCCGGTTCAGCCAGTGGAGCAGGCGACTCTTGATCTCAGGGTCGTGAGTTTGAGCCCCATGTTGGGGGGTGGAGATTACTTAAATAAATGTTAAAAAAAAAAAAAAAAAAAAGAAAGAAACATAAATTAGGGTTTATGGTAAAAGTCTTAAACATTTAATGAAAAAACCTCAGAGCAGTGCATTATTTACATGTAGGTAAGAAAAAACACCAAGGGCTTGTCCTGGGGGCTGTCGGAGAGTTTACACAAACGCCGTCACCCAGAAGCCGTCCCTGAGCACTTCCCAACCAGAGCACAGGGCGGGCAGACGGCCACCAGCTCCCCGTCAGCACGACAGACTCCTCAGATCAGATCAGCCACTAAGAGGAAGAAAGGCACGTATTAAGGAATAATACAAACACAATGAAAACGCACAGCTCTAACCGGAGGCTCACAACAGACTTCCCCAAAACAGAAGGAGAACAGGAAAGGGACTCCAGGCTCCCCACACCAGGGACCGGCGTCCGCTCACCGTTCATGGGCATCTCGTCGATCTGGGTGGAGTAGTACTGCTCGATGTCCCTCAGGATGCGAATGTCGTCATTCTTCACGAAGTTGATGGCCACCCCCTTGCGGCCGTAGCGGCCCGACCGCCCAATTCTTCAAGAGCAGAACAAACCATTTCAGTAAACGCAGCAGGAAAGGTGTCAGTAAACCCACCAGCAAGGAGACCCCCGAGAAGCCCGCCAGTACCTGTGTATGTACAATTCTCTGTTATTGGGCAGGTCGTAGTTAATGATGAGGGACACCTGCGGGACGTCCAGCCCCCTGGCCCACACGTCTGTGGAGATGAGCACCCGGCTGCAAAAAGAGAAGGAATTTGAGGCAATCACCTCAGTCACAGAAGTTCTAGAGCGCCTGGGTGGCTCAGTCAGTGAATCATCCGACTCCTGATTCTGGCTCAGGTCATGATCTCAGGGTCATGGGATGGAGCGCTGCATCGGGCTCCACGCTCAACACAGACTCTGCTGTCCTTCTCCCTCTGTTCTTCCCCCACCCCTATAAATAAAATCTTAAGGGAAAAAAAAAGGTCCTAGACTGACCAGGAGTTGAAAACTCATCGGGTTATCCTCACACGGGCCCCCCCCTCCGCAGGTGTGAGGGGTCGCTGCACCAGATCCGTGCAGAAGGGCACTTCATGTCCGCAGCTGTACTGAGTTCCTGCACGCTACCAACTGATAAAGACAACTGAAGCGTCTCTCACTGTACTGCATTTAATTTGTCGAAAGCCAGTCCCCTGTCAATCACTGGGAAATACATTTTACTTCTGCCAGCAAGGAGTCAGGAAAGGTAGCGTCAGTGACTTCGGGGCGGGGTTCAGCGTGTGTTCAAATCTGAACTGCAACTCGCACCACTCTGCCCTTCAGCCAGGACAGGACCCGACAGGCCACTGGCCGGGCACCCGCCATGTGCTGGAATGGGATGTCTGGCCGTGTCAAATACACAGGATTTTGAATACTTGAAACAGAAAGAAAGCAAAAAAACCTTAACTCGTATTTTTAATGCGAATTAAATGTTGAAAATATTGAAATAATATGCCACATCGGGTTGAATAGAATATATTAAAAATCAACTTCACCTGCTTCTTTTTATCTGTTTTACTGTGGCTACCAGAAAATCCCAGATTATATGTGTGGCTTGAATTGTAGGTTATTGGACACGACTGCTCTAGACGCACTCAGAATATGAAGGGACAGCAACGTGGGAGAACAGAGTTCAAAAAACAGGACGGTGTCACAGCCACGTCATCACCTGCACGCGCAGCCCCAGGGGGGAGAGGACAGGACCCCAGCCGCGCCGGGTGGGGAGGCCGGGCTCGGAGGTCAGATGCCTGTCAGACAGGAGCCAAGACGAGAGCCACACCGAGACACATCAGGGTGGAAATGGGAAACACAGCAAACACAGCAGCGGGGGCAGCAGGGACTTCACAACGGAACAACCGTCAACCCAGAATTCTCTCAGCAAATCCCTCTCTTGAGACAACGGAAGGAGGCATTTCACAGCGAAGCAAACGCTTCCAGACAAACTAAAACCCACATTTGGTCACTGGCAGCCCCAAATTAAATACACGAAGACGTTCTTCAGGGAGAAGGAAACCCATCCAGACTGAAGGTTAGAGACAAAGGAAAAGAGAATCCAATGGTGAATACGTGTCTGAACGTAAATACACTCTGTCAGGCAAAGATGTCGTGTGGAGTTTCCACAGAAGGGCAGGGTCTGACGGCACCGCTTCCAGCCTCTGCGGGCAGGGACGGCAGCCCCAGTGCCCATCACGACAGGTGCTGAGGACGGACACACGCACTGTGCTAAGGAGGCTACTCAACTCATGAAGGTAGAAACATTTTCCAAAATCAGAACTGGGGAGAAGGAAGAAGAGTAAGAATGAATCCAAAATAAAGAAATAAAGGAGTCAGAAAATATGAAAAATAAAACGCACTTACGACACAGTTGGTTTAAACCACACATACCAGTGTCAGCGTTAATAAAACCAGAGCAGGGGCTCCAATTAAAAGACCGCGATCGCCACTGCACTACAGGAAAACCCACACCGGAACACTGCGTGCCGCGTGCACCAAGGACGCCGCAGCTTCCAGCCACCAGCGGGAGGCGGAGGGTGTGAGGGTGCCCAGAGGGGACAGGACCGGCCACGGCCGCCGTGGCTGCATCACAGCAGGATGGGAGACAGACGCTTCTGTGACAAAAGCGGCGCCTCCGCCAACAGAGCGATTCCGCGTCGCAGGCCCGGCTTTAGGACACATCTGGCAGGAGCTCACCGAGCCTCCAAGAACCGCATCCACGGCCCTCGCAATGCCGACGGGACGGTGAAGAGAGACAGAGGCGAGGATGCGGAGCACCCCCAGGGCACCCCACGGCACTCAGCCTGTGCACGCACACACGCAGCGTCTGGAAGGGGACCGTGCGCTGGGCCGCCAAGCACATCTGAATACAAGTGAACAAAGCACGTTCTCTGACCACAGTGGGATTAAGCCAAAGACCAATCATGGAAAGATGAACAGAAAAACAGAAAATCTCCTTACCCAGCAACGAAGAAACATGCTTCAAATAAGGCGACCAACCTACCCAGTGAAGGCCGCCACCACTCAACCTAGCCCAGGGCACCCTGGCAGCCCCCACCACAGCCGGGAGCGTGAGGGGAACCCGGCACAGCCCGCAGACAGAGGGCCCAGGGAACACCACCGGCGGGACCGGGTGCCGAGAGAAGAGCCAGAGCCGGCCCACCTGGCGCCGGACCGGAACTCCTTCATGATGGACTCGCGCTCCTTCTGCGGCATGTCCCCGTGCATGGACGAGACCGTGAAGTTGGCTTCTCTCATCTTCTCTGTCAGCCAGTCGACCTGCACGTCAAACCAGCAGATGCCACTGTAAGCTCGGAAACCAAACCAGATGGTGTGTTCTGGATTTTACTGCAATCGCCTACGGCAGAACCAACGTGAATGTGCACGGCGCACATGCTCTTAAAACTCAGACCGATCTTCACTAGACGTGCAGAAAACTGCACTTTCCCTAGCACATATAGGGCAAAACTCCTCTTATTTGTTCCATATAAATTTCTCAAGGGAAAAAAAAGACTCTCTCTCACTGTTCTCATTTGAAATTTAAATTCCCATCTTTTTTGGAAGGTGGCCCAACTCCTTTCCCTGTTTCAAGGAAGCTGCCGGGGCTCTCCACTGCACCTGCACACGAGCATCACTTGGGAGCCTACAAAACGCAGGCCCGGGGCCCACCTAAAACCAGTGACTCCCGAGCCTTCGCTCGTGGGACCAGCATCAACACTTCTGCACAGTCCACCGGACACGCCCGAGTGTTCGCTCCTGAGCCTCTAAGGAGAAGGGCTGACCGGCGTTCCTATGAGAACCAACCTTCCGTTTGGGCCCGAAGGACACTGAACGGCTCAAGGTGGCTGCGTACCTTCCTTTTGGTGTTACAGAAGATGACCGCCTGAGTGATGGTCAGCGTGTCGTACAGGTCACACAGAGTGTCAAATTTCCACTCTTCCCTCTCCACCGCCACGAAAAACTGCTTGATGCCTTCTAGAGTCAATTCATCACTGGAAGACAAAGACAAGTCCGGTGAACACATTCTTCCACCAAGGTCTGCGGGCGCACACAAGCCAAGCACGGTTCCCGGCGCCTGCCTGCCTGCCCCACGGCGGCCCCCGCCCCTCCCGGCCGCAGCCCTCCCAGCAGTCAACACTTCCGCCGCACGGGCCACACGCCGACCAGTCTCAGCCTTCAACGGCCGCTATCCCTCGGATTATGTATTTTACTCCCACAACACTGATG